TCCAGTGGTTTGTCTCTGATTAACAGATTTCCTTATCTTAAAACACTCCAAACCTTTAGACAAAAATCCATTCTTTAACCAATTACAAACCAAAGAAACTTTAAACCTACCTATAACCTATAAGCCCCCTCCCACCTTTCTGGGTCAAACCAATGTAAGCCTTCCATGTACTGATTTAGGATTTTATGTGTAATTCTTAGCCCCATGAAAGTATAAAACCAACCTGTAATCCGGCTGCCTCCGGCCCATTTTCTCAGAACCTCTTGAGGTCATGTGCTCTGGGCTGGTCACACATATTCGGCTCAGTGTAAACCTCTTTAAATTACAGAGTTGGGGTTTTTTTCCATTAATGCTGGTCTTGAAAGGCAGGGAGGTCTGACATGCCTCCTCATGGCCCCTCCCTTTGGAGCTTAGACACAACAATTGACCAGCATTGATGTTAAAGGTACAGGTCATGAGACTGTTAAAACAGACTATTTGTGACAATAAGATACTAAATTATAAACAGGACCTAAGGCCATGGAAGGCAAAGGTTAAGTCATGTCTACTGACCATCAATTTGTTAAACAGATCTCTTTGAGTCGTGTCAAGTGAGAAGAACCCAAACTCTGTAAAATAATTTAAGGAGGTTTATTCTCAGCCAAGTATGTGGGAACGTGGCCCAGAAAGGCACACCCAAGAACCCTTGAACCAGTGGTCTCCCCAAGGTTGGGTTACAGTTTGGTTGTTTATACATTTCAGGGAGAGAAGAATTACATGTAAAATCATAAATCTCTACATGGAAGGTGTACATTGGTTTGGCCTGAAAACACAGGACATCTCAAAGTGGGAGATTACAGGTTTTAGGTGGGTTTAAAGATTCTTCAGGATGGGCACAGTGGCTCATACCTGTAATCCTAGCACTCTGGGAGGCTGAGGCGGGAGGATCCCTTGAGCTCAGGAGTTCGAGACCAGCCTGGGCAACAGTGAGACCCATGTCTCTACTAAAAATAGAAAAAATCAGCTGGGTGCGGTGGCCTGCACCTGTAGTCCCAGCTGAGAGGCTGAGGCAGGAGGATTGCTTGAGCCCAGGAGTTTTGTTTTTTTTTTTTTTTGAGACAGAGTCTCACTGTGTTGCCCTGGCTAGAGTGAGTGCCGTGGCGTTAGCCTAGCTCACAGCAACCTCAAACACCTGGGCTCAAGCAATCCTACTGCCTCAGCCTCCTGAGTAGCTGGGACTACAGGCATGCGCCACCATGCCCGGCTAATTTTTTCTATATAGTTTTTTAGTTGTCTGATTAATTTCTTTCTATTTTTAGTAGAGACGGGGTCTCGCTCTTGCTCAGGCTGGTTTTGAACTCCTGAGCTCAAACAATCCGCCCGCCTCGGCCTCCCAGAGTGCTAGGATTACAGGCGTGAGCCACCGCGCCCAGCCGAGCCCCGGAGTTTGAGGTTGCTGTGAGCTAGGCTGACACCACGGCACTCTAGCCAGGGCAACACAGTGAGACTGTCTCAAAAAAAAAAAAAAAAAAAGATTCTTCAATTTGTAATTGGTTAAAGAAATGAAGCTTTGCCTAAAGTCTTGGAATGTTTTAAGTAAAGGTAAGGAAGTCTGCTAATCGAGGACAAGCCAGGAGACATATACAGAAAATTAAATGATCTGTTAAGTAAATTGATGACTTACAGGTGTGGTTTAACCTTTGTCTTACATGGCTTTAGCCTTGTTAATGATTTTGTACCTTATTGTTACAAAGAATAACCCCAAAAGGAACAGGGCATAACTGGGCCTGTCTGACCTCCCTTCTCCTCATGGCCAGAAACTCAGCTTCAAGATTGTTTGTTTTTTGTCGGGGGGAGGTCCCCTTGGCCAAGAGGAAGTCTATTCAGTCACTAGGGGGTTAAGATTTTTAGTTCACAGTTGGTATATTGTGGCTTACTCTGTGATAAGCAAACTTCCTTAACTTAGGCATTCCTTCCTACAGACTCCAAATTTTTGGACAAAGCTTTACTCTCTCAACCAATTGCCAATTAAAGAACTTCTAAATCCACTCATGACATGTAAGCCCCAGCTTCTAGATGTCCCACCTTTTGGGGCCAAACCAATGTATACCTTGTATGTATTGAGTTATGATTTTACCTACAATTCCTGTTTCCCTGAAATGTATAAAATTATTATAGCAAGTGTTACAGTGGGTGGTTTCAAGGACAAACCTAGCGGCACACGGAGAGTCGGAAAATTAAGGTTTATTCGCCAGCGGGCTCAGAGGGGTCTTGCCACCAAATTCTGAGCCCCTTCTACCCGATTATTCCTAATTTTATTAGGTTGGGGTGGTCTGAGGGGTGGGGTCTCCAGTGACTAATACACCAGGTAATAGGTTAATATTATGTTAATGTGCCAGGTAATAGATTAGTTGATGTGCCAGGTAATAGATTTAATATTATGTTAATGCACCAGGTAATAGATTAGTTGATGTGCCAGGTAATAGGTTAATATTATGTTGATGCCCAGATAATAGGTTAGTATTATGTTGATGAGGGTCTTCCGAGGGGTGGGGTCTCAGGTGGCTGATGTGCCAGGTAATAGATGGGGGTCTTTCTTATCAAAACCAAACTGTAATCTGTCCACCTCAGGACCACTTACTGAAGGCTTCCGGGGTTTATGTATTCCCAGACCGAAGTCACTCACATTGGCTCAGAATAAACCTCTTTAAATTACTTTGCAAAGTTTGGTTTTTTCCTGTTAATACAATTATAGCTCTGCATCCTAGCCCAGAGTTCCCTGCTGCCTTCCTCTGCAATGCTAAACCAGATGTTTGTCTGCTACTTTGTTGTCTGAGTGCTAAACGCACCTCATCATTTCCTTGGAGAAATAAAAAGCCCTTTTGTCAAGACTCTTGTGAATTTAAAATGCTGTGATGTGCTAATGCTGAATCCCAGGGGCCTGCCTTTCAGCCACCTCCCCAACCAACACTGCTTAAGGAATTCTTACCCACTTAAGCCCTTGAGATACTCAGGTAAAAGGCACCTGTAACGCTTTTTATTTATAATAGCTGGTTAATAATGAAGGAGATCATATAATGCCACTTTAGTAGGCTGATTACTTCAAGCAGGAGGCCCTTGGGGAACAGCGACAGCTGGGAGGGGCTTTCTCTGAATTTTCCTTAGGTGCCTAAAGACAGATCCTCCAAAAGGAACTCAATCGTCAGGAATTCCCCCCTGGGAACCTCCTCAGGGAGGAGGAAGAATAAGCACGTATCACAGGAGAGGGGATCGGAGGTCACCTCCGCACCCAGAGAACAAACGGTCACAGGTCACCCCTGGGCACATAATAGATCTGTGTGCCTTTTCCCCTGTTAATCTGCCCACTGTCGGCTTATTTCAAAGCCTCGATTACGGGACCCTCAGAGGGTAGAGGGAAAGTTCTCCCTTCCCTACCGTTCCCTCATTTAAGGTGACTGGAAA